CCGCTAGCCCAGCTGGCGCTGCGATCAGCGGCAGTGGTTCAGCGATGCCGCTAATGCTACGCAAATCTAGCGGATCCGCCTTCACTGCCCACAGTACCACCGGGGGCCTGGCTCTGGCCAGTGTGACTCATCCTTCAACTCCTTCCTCAGGTGAGTATTTGTGGTTCCCCGGGCTTGTTATCCGGTTTGGTAGCTTGGCAGTCATACGAAACGCCTCAACTGTACGAGCTGCTCATAACTGCAATCTGAACCCACCTGACTCCCAGCGATCTGTCGCCCCCTTCCCCGTTGGAAGGTTAGACTTGGATAAGTAAAACTGTTTGTGGCTGCTGTAGCTTACCAATCGTCCGCCATAGTTTGTCGTGTTTAATTAACCTGATTGTGCCTAACTGCAGGCCAAACATAGTTAACACATGCGGTGAAAATAGTTGTAGTGGTCACATCACGAGCAATCGCTTTCTATTTAGCCGGGTTATCCCATTAGTGGGTAACCTTCCAAACCACGATTTTTATCGTCGCTTTGTAGCCTAAAATATGTTGCATTTTGGGGAGTACAGACAGGGTCAACTTCATTCTGTCCTGCCTCCTCCCTTTGGCGTCTACGGCACTTGGAAGTCAAGTAGATTTCTAACTCCTGAAATCTCATGAGCTTCATAAGAAAAGCCTTTTTGCGGGGCATTCATCCACGCTGCATTCCCCCAACGTCTTACAGCAGTACAGAAACAACCGTTTTTTAATGGCGGTGCTTTGTTTATAAATTAATCTTTACCGGCATAACAAGAATTACTTTTCACAGAAAACTAGCATTTAAAAAACGGATATATTATCAATCACAAAATTAGGCCACCTCTAGTGGTTTGAGGAAGTGGAAGAGCCCATGGAAGGAGGAAAATAATGAAAGAGAATAATAAATACACTAAATCAGCAGACTAATTGATAGGAAGGGAAATGTTTGAAGGTCGTGTGCGAACAAATGTAGATGTTTGCGAAAGTTCGGTTACTTTGACTATTGATTTTCTTCCTGTGACTTTCACGATTTACATACCCGGTCTTTCAAATGCTAATGCCGTTTGGTTTGAAAGTTATAAGGTTGAATTTAAACATCTTTTGGGCTTTCATGAAACCCCTTTTTGCGTTTTAATTGCCATTCTCCTATTAACCAGCTTTTCGCTCCAAACCCCTTCTGTCCACTTTCAGATAAGGGTACCGATAACTCAGATCGACAAGATTCACCCAGCCAGAGCAATCCCTGGATTTCGGATAACGTCGACTACTGGAACATGTCCACCAGCATGCAAGATTTATCCATTAAGCGGGTCAAACGGTGGAGTTTCTCCTTCATGGAACTTCTCAAAGATCCCATTGGGCGTGGAAAATTCCAACGGTGGTTGGAAAAGGAGTTTGCTGCTGAAAACCTCATGTTTTGGCAACAGTGTCAGGTACTTAACCTGTCATATTTATGGTTACTTAACATTTGATAGTAGTTTGTTTTTAACGGGTAAAGTTGGCGTTTGAGGTAATGAGCGAGCCACTAGCAGAAAAATTGTTTTAGTTGACGAGCTTCCGCTCAGTAACCGAGTTGTCAGTACGTGTAAGTG